ATATACAACATATTTTTACTTCTTTTTTTGGGGACACAATTCAATCCATAATAGGTAAGAAGCAAGGGATTTCAACAGAAAAGCCCCAAATTCACTAACCAAACCAAAAGGAGTAGGGCCAGAGGTGAGGAAGGAAGTGGCTGGGATTGGGTAATTAAGGAGTTTCTCATTCTTCCAGTCTAGTATAATAGGAGACAAAAGAGGAAAGTACTGTGTGCTTGAAGCCTAACAACCCTCCCTAAAAGCTGCTGTTTGTGTGAGTTGGACTACTTCCACTGGAGAGAGAACTAAAAGCTGGCAGACTCAGGTGTGTATTTTTGTAGTGGGTATACTTCTACCTTCTCTGTCTTCTCATCTGCCAGGTGGTAATAAATAGAAAAAACTGAGGACTGTATGTGTGCGTAGTGAAGAGGGAACTAGAGTGGTAGTCTGAATATACAGAGGGGACTCTTGGGTAGTCTCTGGGGATGGGGAAGGAATTAGAAAGGTTGGAGGGCACTAGGATTACTGAGAGCACCTGGAATGATACTGAAGGGGCCTGAGGTTTGTGGAGGCAAAGAGGGCACAGAGAGTATGAGATATTCAGATAAGAATTTTGGGGAATGATTGGTAATGGAAAAGGACTAAGAGAGCCTAAGGAGAGGGATTAGAATCTTGGATAAAGGGCAATAGCTATGGAGGCTGAGAAGTTAAGATAAGCTCTAGGAGCAGTTCCAGTGTCCAGGAGCCCAGAGCTATCCAAGAGAACTAAATGCAAGGCCAAGTTCTGACTCCTCTTTCTCTTCCATCCATGTCCGTTCAGCCTCCATCATGTGGAACACCTCTGACGCCAACTTCTCCTGCTACCATGAGTCTGTGCTGGGTTATCGTTTTGTTGCGGTTAGCTGGGGCATTGTAGTGGCTGTGACAGGCACTCTGGGCAATATGCTCACACTGCTAGCCTTGGCCTTCCAGCCCAAGCTCCAAACCCGCTTCAACTTACTCATTGCCAACCTTACACTGGCTGATCTGCTCTACTGCACCTTGCTCCAGCCCTTCTCAGTGGACACCTACCTCCACCTGCACTGGCGCACTGGTGCCACCTTCTGCAGAGTCTTTGGGCTCCTCCTCTTTGCTTCCAATTCTGTCTCCATCCTCACCCTCTGCCTCATTGCACTGGGACGTTACCTCCTCATTGCCCATCCTAAGCTCTTTCCCCAAATTTTCAGTGCCAAAGGGGTAGTGCTGGCTCTGGTGGGCACCTGGGTAGTAGGTGTGGCCAGTTTTGCCCCACTCTGGCATATCTATATCTTAGTACCTGTAGTCTGCACCTGCAGCTTTGACCGGATCCGAGGCAGGCCCTACACCACCATCCTCATGGGCATCTACTTTGTGCTTGGGCTCAGTAGTGTTGGCGTTTTCTATTGCCTCATCCATCGCCAGGTGAAGCGAGCAGCACAGGCACTGAACCAGTACAAGCTGCACCAGGCAAGCATCCACTCCAACCATGTGGCTGGAACAGATGAAGCCATGCCGGGTCATTTCCAAGAGCTGGATAGCGGACTGGCATCAGGAAGACACAGTGAGGGGATTTCATCTGAACCAGTCAGTGCTGCTACCATCCAGACCCTGGAGGGGGACTCATCTGATGTGAGGGACCAGGGCAACAGCAAGATTGCTAAGCAGATGGCAGAAAAAAGACCTCCAGAAGCACCTGAAAAGGCCAAGCCAATCAAAGGAGCCAAAAAAGCCCAGGACTCCACATCTGAGTTTGGGAAGGTGACTCGGATGTGTTTTGCTGTGTTCCTCTGCTTTGCCCTGTCCTACATACCCTTCTTGCTGCTCAATATCCTGGATGCCAAGGTCCAGGCTCCCAGAGTTGTCCACATGCTTGCTGCTAACCTCACTTGGCTCAACGGATGCATCAACCCTGTGCTCTATGCAGCCATGAACCGCCAGTTCCGTCAAGCATACAGCTCCATTTTACAGAGAGGGCCCCGGAGTTTCCACAGGCTACGTTAGAACTGGACTCCCTGTCACCAGAATCCAAAACTGTCTCTTCGAGAGCCAAAGTAGCCAGTTGGCACGGGAGTAGGTGAAAATAAAACTTACGGACTTCTGCAGGGGACATCAAGCTCAATCAGCGTAACATACTACACAAAACATTGTTCCACCTCCTACTTTGGCAAGTAGCGACTGGGATCTTAAAAGCTTGCAAGCAGCCATCTAGATGCAGCGATGGGTCTCTCCTCATCCAGAACAAAGAAGAATGAAGAAAACCAAAAATTTATGGAAATAATTAGTCCTAGTGACTGGCCATGTGATCTGCAGCCTATACGACTATGAGACCAGAAGAACTAGATGGGGCCCGACTACCACTGTCAACCACTTGGAGAGGGAGCTATGTAGGAGATCCTGGACAGAGAGGGAGAACAATGTGGAACAAAACTCTAAATCATTTGGAAAAAAAAAAAAAAAGGGACCAGGTTTGCTGCTCTGATAGAGCCTGATGGAACTCCTGAGACTATGGCCCCTAGCTGCCCTTCAGGTCTGGAATTGAACACACACCTGTGGCTTCTAGCCAAACAATAGACAGACATATGAGTTGAACATTTACCCGAGGTAGATACGTTCCTTGGAGAGAGCAATCATGGGAGAAAGAAGGGCTGTTTATGCACAGGGAGACAGCTTATGGGGCAGGAGTGCATGGAGGGATGGACACAGGGAAGAGGTAACTACCGGGAGGAAGTGGGAGGGGAGCTCTGTTTCATTAGGGTAAATTGTAGTCAATGTCATAAGACAAATTGTATGTGAATGATTGTATGGAAAGTGAATTTGCTCTGTAAATTTTCCCCCAATTCACAAAAAAAAAAAAAAAAAAAAGCTTATGGACTTCACAAATAATCCTTCTCCCTCAAAAAGATCAGGTCTCTCCATCAATGGTTCAGGCCTAGATTGCCCAAGAAGCATTATTAATAAATTAATTCTTTGCTTGTAATGATCAGATGTGGTCTCTGGGAAAGAAAGAGGCCAGGCTTGGTTTGGAGCTAGAATCTAATAGCTGAGGATTAGGTGGGGAGTGCTATGTCAGAGCAAGGGCAGGAAGCAGCTGGCCTGGGACATACAGCCTTCTGCTGGGGGTTTCTAGATATAAAATATGTGAGTTGGTTTGAGAGGATTTGCCTGCCTTTTTGTTTAAGTCCTCAGAAATGGCCTCTTAACCACTGTTGCCAGCATCCCCCTCCCTGGCAGACAGGGTGATTCAGTTCAAACAGTTTTGAAACCCAGTTTTGATGTCTACTCAAGTGAATCCAGCCCCCTGATCCTTGCCTTAACCAAATGGAATGGTCATGGAGGAGGACTTAGTGGAAATGGAACTGAGTTTAGCTGGGGCAATGTCAGACAGGGATTCTGACTGCTCTAGTAGGGCCATACTTGTCAGAGCAGATTCACCCATGGCCGGGCCCTCAGTTCCCCAAGATCTGCTCCTGTGTTGTTAAAGCAGAAGAGCAGGGATTCTAGTTAAGAGGCTCAGGCGCCAGACTGGGGAGGGACCATACCAGAGATGTTCTCTTCCTCCAGCAAGCCAATCACTCATGTACATGCGCACTTGCCTCCTTAAAGCATCTGTGGCCACCAGGTGACGCTGGTTCTCTGTGTTTTCTCTCTGGCTTTTTGATTGAGGACTGAAGGTGCCAGCAGGTCTAACAGTAGTCCAGAGACCCCTGACCAGCAGAGGTGGAGCCTGCCCAGCGGAGGAGGGGCGGGGAGCGGATCTGCACTCTCCCTTTCCCAAAAGCTTAGAAAGAAAAGTGAAGAATGAGACATTTACTATTCATGAGATATTTATTGTCTAGTTTATGTGAAGGTTGGGTATGCAGCAGGTGGAAAGAAGGAAGGGAGGGTGGGCGCTCTGCTGGCATTGGGGTGGAATGTGAGAGTCACGCTGACATCAATACTCTGGCTGCATGCTGTTCCCTCCCCACCTCCAAGTCCACGGTTTTAGAGAATAAAGTGGACTCTGGAAAGATTAAGACAGGGCAAAAAGAATCACAGTCCAGTAGACAAATCTATACCCTCACAGTCAACACACTTCCAGGCCTAGGAATCCTGTCTCCTCATCTAGAACATGCACTCCTGGTGTCCTCCTTCCACAAAAATGACAGCACCCTAAATTGAGTCAAGTTCGTGTTACTAAGGGAAGGGCCAGACCAGATGGTTGGGGTGAACAGCAGGACTAGTGAAAAACATCAGCCTGAGAGTATAGAGACCAGGGTTCCCATCAAGATTCTCTGAAATTCGCTCTGTGAATTTGAGCAGGTCACTGGACCACTTTGAACCTCAGGTGTTGTTATCTGTACGAAGAAAGACTTGCACTCTTACGATGTGCCCAATGCTGTTCTAAATTCTGTAAATATATTATTTAATGTAATCCTCACAAAAACACCATGAAGTAGCTTTTTATAATATCTTTCTTCTAAATAAGAAAATGGAAGAACAAATAGGTTAGGTAACTTGCCCAAAGTCGAACAGCTAGTAAGTGATCCTGCTCAGATTTCAATTCAGAGTCTGACTTCAGTGTCCACCCACATGTGTAACCATTACAAGAGGACTGTTTTTCTAAAACTAGCATCAAGTGACCAAGGTGATCCCTAAAAGTCCTTCCAGCCTGGACCTTCTAAGATTCTTAAAAACTGACAATTCTCTGAAAGGTTGTAAAAAGGTTTACTTTTCATATTCCTTGAAGGCAATTCAAAAGCTTTGGCAAGGAGAAATGAGCAGCAATAGGGATTGAGGTTAGACCTCAAGAAGAACTACACAATTTTCAGTCGCTGTAAAAAAAATGACTCAGGGGAATCAGGAGGAAACCCAGGCGTCTGAGACCGCAGAGGACAGGATATGAGCAACAAAAGTAACCCTTTCCTCTCTCACCCTCTTCTGTCCACGTAAGCACTCCTCCTCTATTTTCGATAGGATTTAAGTGAGAGGGAAGAAAGAAAAGCAAGCTGATCTCTCAGGCTCTCTGTTTTGGCCATATGCATGGCGCGAGTGTGTCCATGCTTGAGATCCCTTTACGATGTGGGGCTCACGCGCATCTCGGGAAGTGTGTACGTTTGTAGACTCCGTATGCTCATGAGTGTGAGTCAGTGTTTGTCTCTTTCTCTCTTAATCTGTCAGTCTCCTGCCAAAGCTCTATCGCTGACTTTCTGATGCTATCTGTTACGGCCTCTTTGTCTCTTTCTATCTGTCCGTCTCTCCTGTAAGCTGTCTTCATCTCTTGTACCTCTGTTATCGCTTTTTTTTTTTTCTCCGAAGCTCGTTCTCTCCCTTCTTCCTCTCCCCCCGCCCCCCACTCCGTCTCTCCTCTCGCCCTCGCTCCAGTCCCCCGCCCGAGCAGTTCTTGCTCGCTTGCACTCTCTCTCTCTCTACTGCTGTCTCTTACAGGCAGATTTATGGTCAGCCCAGGGCCTTTCATTGGCCAAGCACTGACAGCATTTGATTTAACGCCGCCTCTCATTGGTTGAGCTTGACAGGCCGATTTACGAGGCACTTTGCCATTGGCCAAACCGCCTTGGCTCTGATTTATAGCTCAGTGGCTGCAGAGAGGAGGAGGCACAGCTGGGGAGTGAGCATGCCCCTCCCTTAGCCACCTCTTCCTTTCCATCCCTTTCTTCCACTCCCCTTCTTTTTCTCCCCTTTCTATTCCTCCTCTCAAGGAATCGCTCGCCCTCTACCTGTTTCTCAAGCCCCCTTCTCCTTTCTCTTCCATCCACTAGGAGTGGGAAATGGGGTGTGTGCTGAGTGGGCGTCGGACTTAAATGGAAGATGGGGTCTGAAGGGATAAATATGAGCGGAGAAGTGTGAGAGGGTGAGGGAAAGGTAAAGTAGGAAAAGGACAAACTGAAGAGAAAAAAAAAATTAATAATTTTTTTATAATGACATGGGGAGAAGGGGAAACCGAAGGGCCAGAAGAAGTGAAAGAAAGGGGAAGACGGAGAAGGAAAGAAATATTGAAGAAAAGAAAGAGCTTTAAGAAGGAAAGAGGGGGCAGTGAAAGAAAGGAGAAGAAAGAAGAGAAACTGAAAAGAAAGGACGTGTTTGAGGGGGCAAATGGGCAGGGGACATTCTGACACTGAGAGAAACTGTGTCTTTCTTTTTTTATTTTTCTCCAAACTTCACTACCCAGACAGAATAAGAGTTGGAAATTTCCTCCTCAGAGGCTCTGAAAAGGGACTTACAGGAGCAAAGACAGAGAAAGCGAAGCAGAAAGGTGAAAAAGAATGAGAATGAAAGGAGAACTGGAAGAGACTAGTGAAGAAAAGAGGGAGAGAAAAGGACACAGAATTAATGGGGAAGATCAAAAGTAAGATTGGTTTTTGTTTTGGAGGATAGAGGTTGTGCAGTGAGAAAGGACTAATCCTTAGAGAAAATATTGAGAGAAACAACTCCTCTTCTTCCTCTCTGTGAAGAACCATTGGCGTCTCTACTGGGACAAGTCAGGCGCCTCCCCCAGGAGATGTTCTGCTATGTCAAGGCTGCGAGGGGCTCCCCATTCAATACACCTCGCCCCTCCCCCTTGCCTACCTCTCCAGTTAAATTTATGAGTTCAGGGTTGGCCTTCAGGAATTAGGGATATTTATGCTTCTTTGAGAGTGAGGTTTGGAAGGTGATAAATAAGGGGCCATTGGGGGTGCAGCTGGGGGCTCCTATTTTTAGCATGGCCACTTTCCCAAGATCCCCACCCACCCATTCCCTCTCATCCTAAGCCAGAGAAGGGAGTATTTGAGGGAAGTGGGGAGTAGGTTTCAAATATCAGGAAGGGGATTTGACTGTCCTGGAAAGTTCTTCAGAGAACTGATGAGCTTTTTGCAACAGAAAGGATTGAAGGCAAATGGGGAAGGTAGTTTCCAAGCATTCTGGAATTCTTACAGCCCCTGGAGTACAGTTACAGCATTTCTGCAGAAGATGGAGGGAAATGGGGGAGAAACCAGTTTCCCCTGTTTCCCCTGAGCTCAGTTGCTGAGGAGAAGAGGAGAAGTGCCAGGAAATTCAGAGGCAGTTTCTCTAGCCTGTCACCTCCCTCACTGGGAGAGGAAGATTAGAAATCCCTTACCCTC